GGCAGCTTCGGGGCAGGGGGCTCAGGGGCATTTCGAGCGGGTCTTTCAGGAGTTGGAAATTGTGTGCGACACTGAGTAGGGAGAGGGGTTATGTGTTAAGTGAAGAAGATTCTAGTTCACTTTGGAGTCGTGGAAGCAACAGCAACTCTTAAAGCCAAGCATGCTAAGAAATGGGGGTGGAGGCTCAGGCCTCTGTTTATTCAGTATCTCACCATCAGATAAAGCTTATCTTTTCCACTGAAATGTGGAGGGGGATAATAAATAAAATTGATCCTGGCAAGAGTGTATGTAGAAACGGTTTGATATATTTCTCCTGACCACCATAATGCCACTAAAAAAAATAGGCTTTTAGCAATGAAAATCTCTTTTATAAAGATAAAGTTTGAGCTAGAGGGAGGGAGAGAGAGCAGGGAAGGGAGAGGCACAGAGAAAGAGAGAGGAAGCAGGTGGACGTGCAGGACTGACTGCTTTGGGGGTTAATGCTCTCCTTCCACTGTGGGTCGCAGCAGCGATCAAACATGGGCTATCTGGTTTGCCAGATAAATCTCTGACATTTTGCTGACCTACTGACCTAATCTCTATTTCTCTCTCTCTCTCTCTCTCTCTCTCTCTCTCTCTCTCTCTCTCTCTCTCTCCCCCCCCACCCCGTGTGTGGGTGTGTGTGTGTGTGTGTGTGTGTGTGTGTGTGTGTGTGTGTGTGTGTATTGTGTACACAGGTGTATGTGCAGGTGTGTGTGTTTTGTGTACACAGGAGTATATGTGTATGTGTGCAGGTGTGTGAGTGTTGTCTACACGGGTGTATGTATGCAGGTAAAGGCCTGAGGTTAACCTTGAGTATCTTCCTCACTTAACCTTTTCCTTATTTACTTATTTATTTAGAGTCTGGGTTTTCATACTAAACATGGAGCTCAGTAATTTGGTTTGACTGATCCCAAACCCTAGGGTTCTTCCCACCCCAGGCTCAGCCAGTGCTAGGATTACAGGCTTACACTGTGCTGTTATGCTTGGCCTTTCTTTTCTTAAACAGGCTTCCTGGGGGATTGAACTCAAATCTTCATGCTTGCACAACAGCAATTTGCCAATCAAGTCATCTCCCCAACACACAAATCTAATTCTGTGTATCGTGCACAGGCTCCTGCTCCTCGGGTTCTACCTGCTGGGCCTCCTCTCAGCTCATCTGCCAACCAAGCAATATCAGAAAAGAAGGTGCAACATCAAAAGGCATTTCTCATGTCTGATGCCGTGGCAACTGGTTTCTATGATTCTTCTGGTCGTTCTTATAATAAAATCATCAGCTTGTGTCTTCCTGATTCCTTCCTTTATTTAGCAGGCACGTTATGATGCCACAGGAGGCAGGGTGGGGCAGCATTTGGCTCCTAGGGGTAGTCTTCCTCAGGCTGCTGGACTGATGCCTAAACTGGAAGGTTGCAAGTCTAGGATTCTGGCATCCAGTGGGGCGGAAACCCATCAGTGAGGGCTCTCTGCATCCACACGCTTAGGCACAAGCTTCGGGTGGATATAGCTACGTAGGAGTCCAGGCTTGAACTGGGCAGTCACTGAATGAGAAAATTGGAGCCAATAGCAAGCAAAGGAAGCAGGACTGGGAAATCCAGTGATTTGGGTGCTTTGTGCATCCTTCCTTCATGGGAACAGCACATTAGATCCAAGCCTGGGGACATCACATTAGATCCAGGCCTGGGAACAGCATGTTAGATGCAGGTCTGTGAAGGGCTGGACTCCAAGAAGCTACTCTTATATCTGTGTGCTTTATTGCCCATGCAGTGTGGGGACTCTGGAGTTTGCCATATTTTAATTCTGAAGGGAAGATGAGAGAAATGGTCCACTTTATCCATGCATTATTTTCTTATTGCTGATCTTGCTTAGGCAAATTGTACATGGATAGAAAAATTGTTTTGAAAACCATTTTTATTCATTAAAGTTACTCATTTGGGTAAACCAATAAAAGCATCTCTTTCCCTCACCTTCACCCTCTCTCTTTCTCTTTTGATGTTGACTCTCTGTTCTGAGTGACAGCAAAAGTAACTGTATATTTGAAATCTTTGAAATAGGTTTTAATGTGTTTGGAATGAATTAAGAGCTAAAGTGCAAAATCCACTCCGTTTCGTGGTTGCTGAGTTAGTTTCACTTCCCAAGCTTTATGGAACTCCAAAATACGGTATTAAATTCTGTCTTTTAAACCGAAGACAGTATCTATGTCGTGTACTGATTATAGCATTTGGCACACCTGTAGCAAGGTTTGGCAAAGACAAGGCATCACAGTTGTGTAAATGCTTCTTTGTGAGCTTTAAAAATTGGTTGAATATTTGGGGGATATAATATACTAGAATCGTGCAACCTTGATCTTATAAAAAGAACTTCACTTGGTAAGTTCAATACATATATGCTTGGTATTCATACCACAAATTTGTCTTTTTTTATTATTATTATGCCATTCCAGTTGAGCATGGTGGCTCATACTCTTAATCCTATAGTTTAGTAAGCTGAAGCAGGGGAATTGCAAATTTGAGGTCAACCTGGGCTGCTTGTCTCAAAGGGGTGGGGCTGGGGCAGGGCTGTTGCTGCCTTTCCAGTTTGAAAAACATTTTGCTTAGGTGAGACAGTATTTAACAGGTTTATGTATGGTCCATAAAGTCCACACCCAACAGCAGTGTCTAGCGCATCCTGACTACCCATTAGATGTGTATTTCAAGTTTATTGGGGCCATATTTGCTCGGTAGCAACTGATCGTTTATTGTCCATGTAGTGTATGGTGAGTGCTGTTCCCTGGAGTTGCTCTGTGTGAGCTATTTGGTAGTCCAGTAAACCTGTGAAGTCTGTGTGCTATGACCCTCACTTCACACATGAGGTAATGGAAGGAGGCTTGGAGAAGTGTTTCGTGACGCTTTGAGAGTCTGTTAGAGAGTCTCCATTGAAGTCCCACCAAAGAAGAGTTAAAGTGTCCTCACACCACACAGGTAGAGCTGGGATTTGAGGCCTCTTGCAGTGAGGGTGGTGTCTGTGTTTCCACCTCTTCCTGCAGACTATGTGTCCCTTACTGTGGCAAGTGGGGCGTTGTACCACACTTCCAAGACTTTCAGAGGGCAATAGCCACATGCCCAAGTCAGTTCCTCTAATCCATCCTCTGTGGTCTAGCATGGAGATAGGAAGGAACAGTGCCAGGGAGGTCTGCAGTGAGCTATGGAGGGACTAAACACTGCCCTCCTTTGGGCTGAACATCACCTAAGATTTTCTTCTATCGCTGCTCTTAGCACCTAGAATTTGGCCCGGGGTTATCTCCATATCCTGTGATACTGCAGGCTTCTACCGTTAAAGTTGGAAATCAGACACAAACCACAAAAGAGTGTATCCAGTAATGAAATAAGCAAGAGGATGAAAATGGAAGCCTCGGGGTTGGGATGGTCTCTGTGGCATTGGTCTCGCTGGGTCCTGCCAGGAAACAAAAGTTGTTTAGAAAATTTTCAGGGCAAAATGAATGTGGGGAGATTTGTGAAGGTCACGGGTGCCCATATTTCAGGGGTGGAGCGATGTGAGCAAATTATTCTAGTGATATAATAATAAAGGTATTTGTGTCCCTGACGCTTCTAAATTTGTTGAAGGAAAAGTTAGAAAGCGAAATCATAGATCCATCACGAAAACATTCTGAAGGCAGAAAAAGCATCTCACTGGTGCTTGCACAATTGATGCTGTGGGAGAGATGGCCTTGACATCACTTGGCACCTTTAAAGGTGCCAGAAGACAGGAGAGTAAGTCAGGAAGCTGAGTAGGAGGTGCTTGATCAATCGGAGAGGCCCCTGGGCGCGGCGTGTGGGCTGTGCTGTGTGCAGGCGTGGGGTACTGGGTAGAAAAAGTAGTAGCGCCATCCCTGTGCCTTGTGTATGAAGGGAAGCCATCACAGTAATACTGCTGGATTCTTTTGTCTTCCCCCTGCCCCTGGGAAAAGATGCTGTGATTGACCTTGTTTGGGGCTATGAAATGAAAAGGATAAAAAATTGGGCACTTGTGTAACCACTCATCCCCATTAGAATTGGGTGCATTCTTACTCCACCATCAAAACCTCGTAGAGAGGTGGTGGATTCATTTGGGGAGACAGACATAGTGCTGCCAGGACCCAGGTGGTGGATCTGTAGATGGCCTACGAGTAGAATGTTGGCAAGCCCGTTGTGCCTTATAGCAAACAGTGACCCAAAACCATTGCTGTTAGCAACAAAGGTGATATTTGGCTTTCTCCTCCTCTTCTCCACCTTCTTTTTCATCATCTTCCCCCCACCTATTCACTTTGTTTTTGTTTTATTCAGGGTTTTGAGAAGGTTATTTTTTAGTGAGTTACCCTTCGAGTCCCAGTGAGGTACATTTCGGGGACAGGCGTTGTTGGAAGAGACAACAGCACTTGGAAAGCATACGGAAGTGCAGCTACCATGTGTTTGAGCAGGAGTGGGATTCTACATGCTGTGTGATATGCTCAGGAATTAGATTTCATGTTTGGGACCTGGTGGTTCTCAACAGTCCAGATATCACTACAGAACTCAATCACCTGCAAGAGTGTTCATGACTTAATTTACTTTCCTTTACTCTCTCATGGATGCGCAGGGGCTTTTCCAGTGGGTGCATGAAGCAATAGATTGAATGCAGAAGATACAAGAAATACAATTTTCTGTTCTATAAGGTGTCTATGTAAAAGACAGAATGTGGAAAGACTTGCTAAAATGTAATGGCGTGTGCCTCACTATCATTTTTATAATCTTTAAAAAATTATGTAACATGAACTAGATCTGTTATTAATAAACTAAGTAGAAAATTTAACTATGTTTTTATAAGCATATGACACAATTTACAGCACATAAACTATGAATAAATAACAATGCGTTAAGAGCCTCAAGAGTTACTGGTATCAAAATGTTTTGATGATGGGTGGCTATCATAGAGAGCCGAGAATCTTAGGAGATCTCGTAAGAAATCAATACAATTCACATTTGATACCTACTCTTTAAAACTCACAAAAAATAGCTACACCCACTATTTTACCCTGAACATTGTGGTTTTCCTCAATTCCTAGAATGCTTGCAAGGCAACTTCCCTATTGTTCTAATACAAATTGCTTGTCTATTTTGAAAGTAATCATTCTTGTTAACAAATATGACCTCCTAGTCCACCACTACCAGGCTCCCTTTCTACTGGAATGGCACATTTGTCTCACTGCTTTGCTCCAGATTCTGTTCCTGTTTCTCACTATAAACGTGAATAAATGTACAGTTTGTTGTATTGCCTTGAAATTTCCTCCATCAAATTAGTCCATTACTTTAAAAGATTTGTTTATTTTTATTTTATGTGTATGAGTGTTTGCCTGCATGGGATTTATGTGCGCCTTGTGTGTGCAATGCCTATAGAGGCCAGAAGACGGCGTCAGATTCCCCAGAACTGGAGTTGTGAACCACCTTGTGGGTGCTGGGAAATAAACCCAAGTCCTCTATAAGAGCAGTCGGTGATCTCAACCACTGAGCCACTTCTCTAGCCAAACTTTACTACTTTGAGCTTGACTTAAATTTTTATGCCATGAGCAAAATGTAGGCAGAGTTTGGCTAGACTCTAGTAAGAATGGTCTCTAGTCCCATTCCATCTGAAGCCACCATGTCTCTATCAGCATTCTGGTCTTCTGAATTCCCACAAGAAGTATCCAACAAGTCTACAGTACTCCAGGGCTTCTCTGGTTTGTATCTCTGCCCATTGTGATCAACTCTCAAGTTGGGCTCTACCTCCAAAAGTTTCCAGAAATGCCCTTTCCCTGGTAGTTCCAACAAATAGGGGGCAAACATTCAAAAATACTGATTTGTGGTTCAACCCAAACCAATAAGAATATGTGTATGCTTGTTATGATAAATCTTTCCCCCAAAAGCCACCCAAGCCCTACCACCACGTGGGCAGTCTCCACCAGCTGCCTGAGTTCAGCTACCACGTGGATGGACAAAATAATACACAGACTTATATTATGTACAAATGCTGCTTGGCCAATGACTAGGATTCTCATCTCTTAGCTCAGTCTTAATTATCATAAATCTATATATTTTATAAGACATATCTTATCAGACGCCTTCCATTGGCGCCGCCCCTTGCCGGTGGATCACATCACACCGCTAGAGGAAGTGCGGAGGGGAAAAGGGGGAAACTTCCTGTTTCTCCTTGCTTAAATATGAGTTTCCTTCTATGTCACTTCCTGCCTGGAACACCACTTCTCTACTACATTTCCCAGAATCCTCTTTGACTCCTAGTCCTGCCTAACTTGCTGCCTCATTGG